TCTAGTTCTCCTCGGGAGAGAAAGTGAAGGTAACCCCATTGGGAATTTATTGGAAGTCATTTGAAGTGCAAAGTGAAACCATATTGGTTGCAAAAGGGTTCTGTTATCTCTTGTGCTTAATATTGATCATTTTAAATAAACTTTTTATGAATTCCAGGTGAGCTGTTTCACAGGACACATACCCTGGCAATCATCGGTAGCAAGTGTCGTATATCCCTGAGCACCTCGATTGTGACAATGAAGGAGTTCCTGGAAGCCACAGTTGGAAATTCACAGGGTTGGATCTTATGCAGTGTCAGATGGATTCGTGAGTAATTCTATGTACTATGATTAGCAAAAATATCCATGGTATTATGGAAGAATGATGGTAATAAGTTCCCTCATATTTCATTAACAAATCAGGAACAGTTGACTTGCCTGCCCAGTTGAAATTACTGTCATTGGTCGATTTGGAGTTGGGATTGGACCCAAGAAATAATAGCCCTGACATTCCTCAGGTGCAGGAAGTCAGAGACACTATGCAAGAACCCCAGACAGAGTAGCTTTTTTGAATTTGAATATCAACATAAATATTCCAGGTATTATTCAATAAAACATGACTTCTTCTCTTCTAGTATGGAGAGTTTAGGAGACAACACATTGGGAGCCTTTGATGAAGATTTGCTAGAAGCCCAAAGTCCAGATTTACTCCAGACTATCGGTATGTTTCACTTAGCTTGGTAATGCGAGATTCCTGGAAAATGATGAATTGAAAGAATTAGCGCATCTCCATTACATTGTTTGCAAAGAGATTGTTTTAAAATAAGGTGCTAGGAATTAGGCCATAGATGTTGCAAGAACAGGAGATGATATCTTTCCTTTTATCTTACAGTTCATTTGCTATTTTTCCTTAGGCCAATGATGACCGAGGACGAGCACGATTGGGACCACAAGAAGCCCTACACGTGGATAAGGGGAATAAGATTTTTAAATAAAATTTTAAGCTAGCTTTTTTTGTGCATTAAGGAAAATATTTTTCATGAGGCATTTTTTTCATCTTGACAGGTCCAGTGACATCTCAAACCGATGGATTTTTCGATGACGAATGAACTTGGCCGGTCTGAACTGTAGGTCCATGCTCCTCGCCAGTAAAGAACTTCTTTCCTGCCGAACCCTCATGCTATACTGAGAGGGCTTGAAGAACCAGCTCTTCAGAAGGACCAACACCATTTCATCCCTGGGAAAAGGTTCAAAGTATTCATTCTTGGTGATACCTCCTGATCTTCTTACATTATTTTCCCTAATTGAACTTGGACCACATTTACTCACAGGTAGGCAAAAGGCTCTCCAGACACTGCTCGGGAATAATATGCAAGCCTTCTTCACCCCCAGAAAATGTGGCCCTTTCGAAAAACCAGGAGAGGATGCACATTCATTTTTGCCTTGATGAGGTTGGATTCATAAAGGACCCTGCTGTGCTTAATTTAATTTGAAAAATTTGTTGGTCAGTTCTGCGTGATGCATACCAGATCTCCCAGTAAATAATATTTAGAGATCGGAATATATGACTGATCCATAAACCTTCTCCCTAACAGACTGTGATTTCATGGAGGCTGAAGGTGATGGGGGTTGCAGAGTTCAATCTCTTTTTTTTTCTCATTTCGTTGAACTGTTTCAGGTTTTTTTTCTCTTTTTCCCCCTATCTTTCTCTTGGCCTTAGCCTTCTCTGCTTTTCATTCTCCACCTTTTTTCTTTTTTTTTTCCATTATATTTATCGTTATTCAGTTCTTATTTATGTATTTTCCCCTCCTTTTTTTGGGGTTTTCTCGGTGGAATTGAAGACTGAAGAGATGTTCGAATAAAAAAAAAAAGAGTTCAATCTCATTCTTGGAGGGCGTTGAACATCCTGCGTCACTTCACATCTGCAATTCCAAGATATTGAAGACTTTTGTGGTGTTTGGGACTCCTTTTGTGCGAATCCAATGTTATCGATTCTGACCTATGTGTGTTTAAGTGCCCTGTTTCCCCAAGCATTGAAACAATTTCCCTTTTATCAAGTTAAATTTTTCCACATTACCCTTGCAACAAATAAGTTGCTACACAAATTTAATGAAAGAATCACTTTGAACATCAAAGAGTTCTTCTACTTTTTTTATTGACCCAAAATCTTCCATTTATTTTTTTCGTATTTCCTGCTTAATGAGATCTTTTAAGAACTTCATTAAAGAATTGATGCTATTCAAGGAGCCCATATGATGTGCTGTCCGAAAGGAATAATTGGAGCCAGACTAAAGGGAAAAGGTGCCAAATGGCACCGATTCCGTTTAGTCTGAAGCATGTTCCATACACCAAAGGGAATCTGTGCCATTTGGCACTTTTTCCCTTCAGTCTGGAGCAGGCGCCATAACTTGCTCTGGACGAAGGAGATACGTGCCAAATGGCACAAAATCCCTTCGGTCTGGAGCATGCGCACTACCAGACGATAGACCAAAGGGAACTAGGGCCATTTGGCACCTATTCCCTTTGGGAGAAGAATTGAAGGTCATCAACCTCGCTTCCCATTAGCCATGCAATCAACATATAATAGTTCTTGATATAATAACCTCATTTTTGCCCCATTCTACACAAATGCATGTTTTTCTTCATTAGACTCAAGAAAGGCCAAAATTTGTTTTTTTAACAACAACTGAATGTAAAAGGAGATCAACGGACTCATTATACATATGGCATGAAAACGCCTGACAGGTGGCTTCACGCTGTGAAATTTCCTTAAAACAAGATGGACTTGACAAAGGCATGCCATGCTATACCTCGATTGTCTGCATGCCTGAGGAGGGCTTGTATAGAAATGGCTGTGGTCGGATGTATTTTTCCTCGATCAAGGGGGACACTTTACAATTTTACATGAATTTTCTTTGTGCTTTGGGCAAATTTTGAAAATAACTGCCATGAGTCACCTAAATACGCAATATAAGGGCCAAATTCAGTGGAAACATATGAGTATGGCTAATTGAAATATACAAACCTTAATTGAAACTTGTTAGGGTGTATGCCAATCCTGGAAATAAAATTCCGTCATATTGTATAATGGAGGAGCTTCTTAAACAAATTCCCTATGCCCAAAGCTCGCGAAAAAGGGAGCCATGTGCAAAAACTGAAAGTTGATATGGTAAAATTTTGCGAAATAATTTTTCAAACTTGGTGAACTAAGCCTTGGCCGACGGCATCCCAAGCATTTTAATCATATCTTCGGCACAGAACGAAGTTGACTTCCAGATCTGGCACTAACTGCTCAAAGGCCTTTTCAATCCTGGCTCGGCCGCAGCTGCATTGCGTCCGAAAGAAGCCGACGCTAAACACATGAAGCCCGTGAAAACTTGCCTTGGGGCTGGGACTCGAACACAACTGAGCTGATCTTTGTTAATCTGAACTGAGTTAATCCGATGAAACGCTAATCGGCATCGACACAAAGTTGCACAAAGCCCTGCTCGTTATTCGATCACGCTAACAGCGCGCACGAGTCAATCTTTAACTGCTCACGGTTAAACACCAGGTGTATTCCTACGATAAACACATTTTCACGCCGAAAAAGACGTTGGATCTGTGAGCCAGGACCGACGCAAGCCATATAATGTTTCCTTCAGGTTTTTTTTTGGGACTTCTGGACTCGAGATTCCAGTGGAACCAGGCGCCCATCCAGGATTTTTGATAGCTCCATGCGCCTGGGAATATGGTTCCATTAGAGGACGCGCCAAATATTTATTCTCTTCATTCGATGAGACTTGAAGTCCCGGGTCGACCGAATGTTTCAATACAACTTAGGGACGGCTTCTTGGTTTTCATTTTTCTAAATATGAAAAAATATTTGCCGTAATGGAGCCGAAGTTCATGAGTTTCCTACGAAGTCCGAAGTTGTTTGAGGTGCTTCATTGGTATAATTGGCCTTTTCAGAAATTAATTTCAGAAATTGTCATTCGTACTGGGGTGGAGACTGGAAGAACCACGATAATATCATTTATTAATCAATATGGATAGAATCAAACTCATTAGCACTAACTTAGGAGATCGTCTCTTTTTCCAGTCACTCAGACTGCGAGACCGTCTGATAAATCGATGCCGATGGCTTGAAATGCATCTACGACGGTTTGAGAAACCGGTAGAGGCAGTCGAATGCCGGGAAGGGCGTAACCATAACAACACCGAGGATCGAGGAGTGTGTCATGCGAGCATCGCGCACAGGCACGTGTGCATCCGATGGAGGCTCGCTTCCTCCCCCTTTGCACTCGCATCCCCCCGCGCATCCTTTTTTTTCACGGTGCAGTGGGATGTCAGTTCTGCAGGCGATGGCCGAGGGAGAGAGGAAATGATCTGCAGAGGAGGACGCCTGGGAGGAACGGAGGTGGTCCTCCGTGATACACCCGCGAAAATGCTCTCGGGAAGTAGCAATACGCAAGAACGAAGAAGCCGTTTCATAATATGTATTTTCCTCTATTGTTTCACGATTTCACTTTTCGAGCCAAACATGGAAAAATGAACGGTACACCTTGCGAGAACTTGAATCGCTGCACATTCATTCACCGTAACAAAACTGCGATCCGTCACCATTTTTTTTCCTTACGGGGGATGGAAGTGGTGGGGAGATTCTTGGTTAGGCACAAAAGTGGGCCGCCGGGAGTGTTTATTGGTGCAATTCCGTTCATAAATCAGCAGAAACTGACATTTCCCTTTATTAAGAAAAAAAAAACAAGTAGCAAGTCATCTCACCCCCCCCCCCCCAAAAAAAAAGGATATATCCTTATAAATCACTACACTAACAACTGTTTTACCACGTTTAATCTTCCTAAAACATGCTTGCTAGAATCATAGTCAGTCCTTCACTCAGCCAGTTCACTCACACAAATTAGAGGGGCCTATATTAGAATTATACATATATTTAAATAAATGAAAATTCCACTCTGGTCCGTTGGGAGAAGAGGAGTTTCCGCTTCTACGGAGAGCGGAATTATCAAGTTGATGCGGATAAAAACGGATGATTTTGCAATATTGTTTCCCCCCCCAACCAATTTTTTTAATGGAAAAGATTCTTCTTGGAATCTCCGAAATTACAAATTTCATTGCGTTCAACCCCAGTTGCTGATCGTGGACTGGATCCAGTCCGCATGAAAGGAGGCTTTCGTGTAGCGAAGCGCGCTCTTGCATATCTTAGTGGAGATCGCGGCCCAGTGAGCCATCCCCGCCACGAACGCTTGGCCGTTGTATCGCACCACCAGGGGTCCACCGCTGTCTCCCTGTGCGGCGAAAACGAGGGTTCGTGTAGAACAATTTTCACACACCAAAAAATCTGCAGAGATTTCTCACACATTCGAAAAAAATATTCTACGCCATTTTCTGATGAACTAAAGAGGGGCCATGAGTCCTGTGCCTAGTAGTCTCGTGAAAATGGAAGCACGACCTTTTCCTTCTGATGACCTTGACCAAGGATATCTGCAAGTTCGTGGTGCTATTTTTTTGTTGCAATAACCTGGCTCTAGTAAGTCTCACTTCTTTGGCTCCTCTGGAATTTTAACGGGAAAAGGTAATCGAGACAGAAACATACCCGAATTCCCAAATCGCATGATAGGAATTCCGGATTTTTTAAATTTTATGTCATTTGAGGGAAAATGGGCCTAGAATGTGAAACCAGGTCTCAACGGCCCACCAAGGTCGAGTTTGACTTCGCCAATATATCGAAATTTCAGATCGAGATCTCCTTCGCTCAATTTCATCAAGGCACATGCAAAACGAACACACGGAAATTGTGCATTTGTATCCTTTCCATGTTGGTCCCAAGATGCATGATTGCGTCGGGGAAATAAGGCCAGCCAATGAGGCCAATTAGTGGGAATATGGTCACATATCAAAAAATACCCCAATGGTTTTTTAAGGTCAGTGGGTAATGTGCTTGAAAACGGTACCTTACATCATTGCAAACGAGGCTAAGCAGTCGAAAAACCGCATTAACTGCATGTAACATTACAAGACTCGACATGATTACCTGACGGCAGGAAGCGCTGAGAAAATTATTTCCTGCCAACACTTTTGCTTGAGTGGCATTGCGCATGATTGGGATGCTGGATCCAGAGAAAGGGCTGAATCCCCCATAGATCGAAAGGAACACGCGCTGCGAGTGTCAACTGAGGCCCTATAGTAGTGGTAAAACGTTGCATCATTTTTTGTATGCATACGTCAATAATAAATAATAGTAAATAACACGAAACAGATGTGCAGATGATTTCTTGTTGTCCCACAAAAGAGAAACCGAACAATGCCTGAGGCGATGGCGGCGCTTCCATCAAATCCTGGATGTGTCTATATTAAATCTAATCGATTTCGCCACATCCCCCCGTGCAGGCTTGCACGACGAAATGGACGACAAAGCCTGCAAATTTCGAGCGTCCCTCACATTTTCAAGGACATTTGGGAGGTCCGCTCTTTCATCCGACAATTCCTTTGGGTTGCGCAGTCCCTTATATCCATTGTCATATCTCACCTTCTCTACTAATGTGATGAGGACTGAATGATGCACTTCAATTCGTTTTTCACGGGACAATATATGTGATTTGCCAGATGAAAAATAGGTAGAGAGAAACTTTCTCAAAGCGAGAATTGTTACCATATATTAAATCCCGATTGGTTATTGTCCCATTGCATACGTGACAGTTAGTTGCAACTAAAGCTAAGAGCGAATTTTTTTTCCCGAGAGATACAAATTACGAGAATAACGCAAGTGAGCATTGCCAGAAAGGAACGTACAACGCAGCCATAAGTGGACGGAGTGGTTGCAAAGCCGCAGAATTCGCTGCCATCGTTTGCGAAGCAATCCTTGAAGGCTCGGTCAGACGTCCGCATGCTCATTTTCTGCAAGAACGTGGCAGGATTGCGATTCTTGTAGTCCTTGAAGGACAGGGCCCCCCACCCGTAAGCCATCTGGTCGCATCCGGCCATGGCAGCCCCGATCTCGCCCGACGTGGGGTAGCAGATCGGCTGGACGGTCGGGCCGAACGTCAGGCTCGTCGGCAGGCGGATCAGGGCGATGTCGTTCCCTTTCTTCTTGTTCTCTGCGAAGATGATACGAGGAGGTTCAAACACTTCTGCAACTCAGCTTGTGAATTTCATACGACTTTATTAATGAAAACAAATATATATTTAATCCTTGAAGGTACTCCCCCGGCATCGATACATCGCTGCAGCCTCAGCAGAAAATTTTGGGGAGTCCCACGGTGCTCACATGCAGGGATAGATTTTTAGGGCTGAATTCGCTGATTGAGCAAGGTCCTGAACCCGAGTAAATGGCTTGCCTGCAATCATCTTTTTTTTTGCGTTGTCGTGCAGCAGCATCAGTCTTGAAAGTCTTGCAGTTTGTGCAAAATATGACAGCCGTAGCGCAATTAAGGTTGAATATTTTTTGAAGGCATATCCACCTACTGGCTACTTGCTTATGACGATGAAGCTCTATGACCTTGTCTATGACCTCTGACCTCTTCTTAAAGCTAGCCGCAAAAGGGGGCAGCCCCAGCATCATCGCATAACATCGTCACGGAACTGTCACGGAACACAAACAGGTTCCTTCGTATCAAGGTACAACGCATGCTCAAAATCTGATAATACACCTTCGATGCCTTGGACATTTTATATTTTAAATAAGTAATTTATTTGAATCAGCGTGAGGCCTAAGAAGGTAATACATTGATGATCAAGGAATACATTGACAATCGCTTTGCGATATTCGAATCAGCAAACTGCTGCAAATTCATGCAAATTGAATCGACTGTTCCAGAGAGGAAATTCTTGATGGTACGCTTTTTGGGAAGGGTTCAGTCCGGTCCGGAAAACGGGCTTGAGAGAAATTCGAGGGAGATTCGCACGCGACCCGCCTTTAATAATGCGAGGGACCGTGTCGCTTCCGCGAGAAAGTCGACGCCCGCGTCGCAGAAGTCGCCGAATCCGTGCGGTTTTGAAGAATGACACAAGAGGTATGGG